GCGGTAAGGATCACTCGAGCGTTCATTATGTATACATTGATTATCTTTAAGCCTCCGCTGGAGAGCCTCGACGGCTCGCGTTGCGTTCCCGAGCTACTCATATGCGTTCGGATCGTGTTCCTGCGAATTGTCTTGCTAAACAGTCAACAGAGATTTACAACTCAGGTCCCTCGATAGAGAACACGTTTACTTGCGGTCGCATCGGATCGCGATTTATTTATTGCGTTGCACGCACCTACCGAGCAATACCACGTGGCATTTACGAGTATTTACAACATCGCTATACGACATAAGCTCTTCGGATTACGGATCTCCCCCTACTCTGTCGGCCGCGACCGACACACCACTGTGCACCAATTAAATGCACCGGCCATATAAAATAATTCCTGCCGGTCGTCTCTCTCGCCGGCTTATGGTTCACCCGGCAAAAATCACTGGAGCTGCGTGTTCGCACGGTGTGGACCATACAGAAAATTATAGCTCGTTATTATGCTCGCGTGCATACGGTGTCCCGGGATTTGTCAAGCACAAACGACGCTCCGCGTTTAACTGTAAAAATATTCGATAACGTGCGACAGGTTTGAACGTTGTCGAATTGGAATTTTAATTTTTATTTGTCCGCGGCAGAGATACACGATGCTTCTTCGTTAATGCTCTATTTGTACAGGAGATTACACCATAATCCAAGAAATTGAGTTGCTTTAATGTAATGTAACAACTTCTTCCGATGTTATCGCTTGAAAGTATGTTTAGAAAATGTAAAGAGAGTGGAACGCATTTAGCATGCAAATTAAAACACGGCTGATAAATATTGTTTTATGATACTGTTAAATAGACTGTGGATTTTATGCATTTGCGTCGGGATCGAGTGGTTCGGATATAAAATAGCAGAACGATTAAGAGAATTTAGGAATGTCGATGTATTATTTTTAATCTATTAAAATTATTAGCGAAAGAAAGAAACTGTTGCTCAGTTTCTATTTCTAAGAATTGGTGGAGGTAATTTTTATTTTGCAGAAGAATATTTTTGTTGGAAAGATTTTATGCAGCTATTGCGAAAATTGATAAGAAAAATACCATAATGCACAGTGGAGAACATCAGAAAAATTTAAAAATACTGTCGCATTACTTTCATCTAATTAAATCTGTTAAAAGGAGAAATACATTTTTATTCAATTCTTCTTTTATACAACATAAAATATATATAATAATAATATACAACATTTATAAAACATTATACAACATTTTAGTCATTTTTTGATTAGAGCGTATATTTAGTTAACGTGTACAATAGGAACGTTTATTCGAATATTCTCATACTTTCAATAACTCGACGTAATATTTTCCGAGAATATTTTCTTGCAACATAATTGTTCTTTAATTCGACTAAGGATCTAAAGAATTCTGTTGACTATGCGAGCGGAACCTTCTTGTACATATAGATTTGTCGAGAATGCTGTATAAGATCCACTAGATAAGACGTCGGGAATTCCGATGGCCATGGATTATAAAAATGTCTGCGGAGGAGAAACGAATTTCGTAAAGTCCTCGTGGCCCTCGAGCCACGTGGGTTATTGACACAACGGCAGCCTTGAATCGTTTGAGAAAAGCTTGTTAACTAATTTTGGTAACGCACACCGATCGATGGTACACGTTCCCATCCAGAGACCATGTCTGTCGGAAGATACTTATTTAATTTCATCACTGGTAAATTACATTGCTTGTCCAGAGAGACAGTAGAGGGACCTGAGAGAACTCCACTCGTAATTACAAATATTCTTGATCACTCGACAACGTACAATTGAAGTTTTCGTAGAAATACCGACGTCCTTGGCAAAATTATGGTTCGAGATATTCAACATTTTATTTTAATTGGTACTTGAATTTACGAAACCAGTCAAAATGGTTTCTGTCTTTCTTCTTTTACAATTCTTTTACAATTCGATGCTAGAAAAATCTTTCTACTAAAAGTTTTTAGGTAATCTTTCGTAGTCTAGAATATTTATAAATAATCTTTGTCAGAAGCATAAATAAATCTAATCTTGTCATTGTTATAAAATAATATACACTAGTCGCGTTTTGGGTTCGGTAGTTTCAGTGTTAATAAAATTGTAATATCACTAAAATTCATTTTTCGTCTATTCTGTTCAATTGTTGCTATATAAAGTTGACCATATTTATTAACATAAATAGTCAAGTCTATGGATCCTAAAAATGGAATTAATTAATTAATATTGAGGCTAAAGGTCCCTGAAGTTTTTGAAGGTGAAGTATATTGAAATCGAAAGTGTCGATCCTCAAGGCTGCGATTCAAAAATGTTGTGAACGTTGACTCGGTTGTGAGCGACTGTGTCAGAGAATTGATAGATCGTTGCCTGCCGTTTCTCGACCCGTAAAACCGCGGGTACTTTCTTCAGGAAATACAGACGAACTTGTGTAATGCCAGCAGAACGATGGACTCCGTTCGTCCCGGAAATGGCTTTTCCAGCTCTCTTCGTTCCTATCTCTGCTATTCATTAATTCAAAGCTGAGACGCAAGCTTTCGATTCGCTGTCGAAATTAGTTCCGTTTCTGCGGAAAATGTATTCACTCGTTCGGCTACAATGATTTATAACTTAATTGTATAATATCAGTTTCCAATTGTTTCAAATCACTGTGCTGCGAACTTACATATTTCTGAACTTGAAATAAGAAGTACATTCCAATGAAATGAAATTTACTCGCAGTGGTTTCTGAGTTCAAAGATAACTCATTAATAATTTTACGCATTTATGACGAACACGAGTATTCGTAATTTAAAATATTAGAAAGATTAGAAGATCGATAATGTCAACGTACAATCGTTAAAGAAGGAATGAAACTTCTCGAAGAAACTCCTCACTTTTGCAATGGATGCAGAACATTTTTCTTTCGCATAAAGACTTTCAGTTTACTCGTTACCAACGCAAGTCGCGTTTTGAAAATAATACCTGGACAAAATAATACTTGGACAATGGTAATAGAAATAACGAATCCGATACGTCGAGTCTAGTAAGAACGTACGAACAACGAAGAATAAAAAGAAACGAAGGTAAAATGAAAGTGTAGTAGGACTCGAATGAAGAAACAAAATACGTATGTGTAGTGCAAAGTTCAAACGGCGGTTTTAATTGCTAACCAGCGTGGCTATTAAATCAATTTGGGCACCATAAATATATATATATGCTTATTGTAAAAGAATTGTAAAAGAAGAAAGACAGAAACCATTTCGACTGGTTTCGTAATATATATATATGCTTTCGGACAACCTATTTTTTTTATAACTTCGGGATATTTAACTCTTCTTTTTTTATGTTTACACGCACTGCAAAAAAACTGTTTTTGATTTTTACCGAGTCACCAGTTCGTGTTGCGGCACAGAATGTAGTCTGAGAATGCACGATTTTTTCGCATCGTAACGTTCGAACCGCTGCAAACGAGGCTGCACCTTTTAATACACTTTTCCTTGTTCCGTTTGTTGAAACACGAATGGAGAACGTTCCGCTCGGAGCCTCTTCCATATACGACGCGATTCGGTTTCGCTGAAGCGGGTAAAAGTGGCCATGTGTGCGCCAAGTTCATTTACATTATTAACGATTCGATAACACACACGCAATGTCGCAACGGGTGTCACGGTGCGTAATACACGAGGTATCCCCGTATAATGAAATCTATACGTGGTATCTGCGATCTTCGACAAGGAAAAGGACAACTTCATGCCAAAACTTCGTTCCAGGTCCCTTTTTTTTACATTTTATTCGGCAATCATTCTGTGTTTGTTTTAATCCTCTCGCCAGCAGCATAAATTCCTCCAATAACATTTCACCATGCTATAAGATTTGGCATTTACCAATGCCATAAGACGAACAAATGATTCACGATTTCATCTATTCCAGTATTTGTTTCTTGGCGCACCAATCATCGGCGATGATTTCATAATTTTCGATAGTCTATAATTTACGATTCAAAAGTGCTTCATAATTTGTTTAGTGGTACTAACTATTTCTATCGTGTACCACAAGTCGTTTCCGGCGACGTTATCTGATGATTTCGTTTGGAATTATCATGTAGGAAAAGATTATTTAGATTTCTTTCAGCATGGTACAATAATTGATAATTTGATTAATAATTATGTCGGTTTATGACTGATAATATTGTCGCTTTCTTGAAGATTTCTTTTTAGAAAATTCTCAAACTGTTAATTTACGACTTTAAAAAAGTACTATTAGAAAACTGGCGATAGATACAGCGTCAACGATCAACTATAGTTTTCTCTTAACCCTTTGACGATTAAAGTCGACGCAGTGACATCAGGTGTATCATAAGATCAGAATATACATTGTTCATTCTTCTTATTATTGAATTCTTCGACGTACAATCTAGTCCTTCGAGAAAAATGTTCTTAGTACATTAAAAAATGCACAAAGGGTTAATAAGTTTTATTGTTGCTACAGCAACAGAGATCATTAGAAATTTTGTATCTATACAATGTTAACATTCTGTTGAATTAATTAATCGTCGAATCGGTTACAGTGTTTACTAAAAACGTTCAAAAAATAAACTTGCATTTTTTGCACTTTGTACTGTCCAAATTAAATGGATGGAATAAAGTCAAGGAAAACTACATGCATCAAAAATTGAATTTACACACATATGTTATCCTTGAAGAAATTAACACTGTCCCGCAGATACGCACGACCGTCGGACAACTCTTTTCAAAAAAAATTTCCACAGCTCACATCTTAACCCCTGGCAATATGATTTCTTCCATATCTACATTAACGACTTCGATTTTTACAATTTCCCAATTTCTGTTCTTTATTATCTGATTCCACAAAAAGGTGAAATCTGACTCGTAAAAGGTTAAATAGGACTTACAAAAATGTTCCATAGCATTTTCGCACCCTCGAATCAAGCGACAGAGACGAGATCCCCAAAAACAACCCCGAACACAAAATTGAAACCGATCCTTTGAATTTCAGGGTGATAGCGAGAAATCCGTCAACACCAGAACCCGAGCCGGCAGCACCGATCACCGCACCTGAGGCCCACAATCGGCAGAAAAAGCATTTCTTCCCACAAGCCCCCTTCTCCCGAGGGAGCTGCACCCCGGAACACCGAGCCTCGAATGAGTTGATCCGCGAGACCTGCGTTTCCGGTAGCGCGGCTTCGAAGAGAGCAGACTGAACGCTTACCATTCCGTCAAACATGACATAAACCGAAGAATCTCATCCTCCTAAGCACACAGAGATCACCGTTGGAAGAGTAACCCGTTGAATCGGAAGGGAACAATCGGCGAATTTCGACGCGGAGAACAGAGTATTTTTATCGACGTGAGGTGTATACCATCGGATTCTTCGAATTCAACGCTCGCAGGGTTGATTCGACTGATTCGCGAGGACAGGACAGCTCCGAGAATCTGCCCGCGGCGCGAAATAATTATCGCCGTCGTGACGGATCCGTCGAGCGAAAGGAACCACTTGATCGGCGTATACCCAAGCGAGCGGACCACGGGGACCAGAAGACGTAAACGAAGAAGGATCCGAGGCATCAAGGAAAAATGGCGTATGACGACGTTATCCTGCGGATGGGCGAGTTTGGCCGGTACCAGCGCAGAATCTACCTTCTGCTCTGTCTTCCGGCGATATCCTGCGCGTTTCACAAGATCGCCGGCGTCTTCCTCAGCGCGAAGATGAGCACCAGGTAGCTGCCGCTTCTTCGGCATTTCGAAACAGAGCCGGCTATTCTCCAACATTTTCTCATTCTTCTCTCTTGCACGAGCAATTTCCAAGGGCTACGTATAGTCAGATCTGATAGATTTTGGACATGGAAGCTGATAAAGTTGTAAAATATACATCACATTCAATTTAGAAACACCTTTTTCTTTGACGATGATTGCTCATATTGTCTTGGGTTACAGTTTGACTTTTCTGATATATTTTTATTTAAATTTCACTTCGCTCGAACAAGTTAGGGGAACATGGTAATAGTAATATTCACTGGATGATGATTTAAAAGCATGGAAGGGTGTTCAAGAATTTTTGGGGATTTCTTCAAACACAATACTCGGAGAAAAATATACAGATATAATCGATCCAGTATGCAGCGAACAACTCAATTAGTGAGTGAAAAGAATCGATGGTTCTTGTTTCAAGAATTCGAAGCGTGTGTCGGTAATAGGACCCACCCGAGCGAAGTGAATCACTGTGCAGGTCGGAAAGAAAATATTTTGCACACGGAAACATGCTAATTATCAGTATTAACATTTTTATGAGTCTGCGAATTTTTTTGTTTCGCGTTCCCAAGGTCCGAGAGCTCTGGAGAGATTCGATTTGAAATTCCGTACATAATCACAAGACACAAAGATATTAAATTTAGTGACTTAGTTAGTACTTTGCAATTAAATAATACGCTTTGATCGCGTTGACAATATTTTTCACATTTTTCTAGGGCATTTAATGAATTTCCATGTTCGGTATCAAGATTGTTGCTCGGAAACATTTTAAAATTGATATTATGCAAACGAAAGCGACACGAGATGGTTTGAAGAGGAAACAATTTTCTTTCAGATGCGTATTGCCGCATGAGAACGTGGACAACGCCACGTATTTTTTACCCCGAAATGTGATAAACACGAGCTACCCATGGGACGACGAGCTGAAAGAATGGTCGCAGTGTTACAGACACGACGTTCCTAGCTTTTTTAATGAAACTACAATCGACAGGTATGTCGACACGTCGACGAACGACGCTCCAATTCAGAAACCCTTCTCCCCGAATGGTCTCAACACTCAGGGCCTGAAGAGATGCGAGGGATATGTGTACGACAGAAGCAAATATAAAAGTACCACCACTTCTGAGGTATATACACTAGTTTTGGTCCGTCATTTCACGTGCACCTAACTCGTTACTAATCGATCAACCAAGTCCTAATTGACTTCACTGTGCTACAATAGTGCTTTAAGAGATAATCGGTAGTCCCAAAACTCTTCATTGGCATCCTCTCCCAATGCTAGAAGTACTGATAAGTTGCTAAAACGACAAATTAATTTCGTTTCACTGACTTGAGTCAAAAGCTTGATCTCAATTATAGATAAAGGTTTTGATTGCAAGCATAGAAAGCAGAGCGAATGCATCAATATAATTTTTCGCACCCCTTCGAAGAAGCACTAGTGTAGCTATGCGATAATTGATTGAAAGATTCGGCTGTAATGTAACCGTTTGTGTTGCTTCTTTTCAGTGGAACTTAGTTTGCGACAGGGCATGGTTGAAAGCTACGGGGGATTCTTTGTTCATGGTAGGAGTCATGCTTGGCTCGATGATTTTCGGTGGTTTGTCCGATAAATATGGGCGTAGACCAATTTTCTTCCTGTCTTTAGTCATACAGCTGGTCGGCGGTGTACTAGTCGCGGTTGCACCCGAGTTTATATCCTACGTTATCTTCAGGTTAATAGTCGGCTCGACTACCAGTGGGGTCTTTCTAGTCGCCTATGTCATTGGTAAATAGTTACACGGAATAAGTCGTTCCATGCAGTGTGTCGTTTCCCATTTTTATTCCAATTGTGCGTTCTAATAACGCTCGAACGGCGGATATTTCTGACAAAATATAACTGTTTAAGTTCAGGATGTTTCATAATTTTATTTATCAATTTCTCTTGACATACTTTTTGAGATACTCCATCTAGGCGTGTTAGTTTTTTTTATGGATCTTAATGAAGCATATGGGCACAAACCGGGTCCAAAATGGATCCGAGTTCTACCGTCCCAGTTTTGAAGAATTTTAAGAGTGCAGTAGATGATTCTAATTTTTTCAAAGATGACATCGATTTTGGAAACGGCATCACTCGTGGAATGTTCTGATATGAAAGTAGCAGCTCTGGTAAATATCGTTCCAGTACTATGACGACACTATAATCTTCAGATAATGTTGCCTTTTAGCCCTGGAAATGGTGGGTCCGAGGAAGCGTTTGGTAGCCGGAGTTGGTTGTCAACTGTTCTTCACGACTGGATACATACTCACCGCTGGATTTGCATACTTTATAACCGACTGGAGAATGCTACAAATGGCCATCACCGTGCCAAGTATCGCGTTCCTTCTTTATTGGTGGTGAGTACAATATCTTATTTCTTAGTTTGTGGTCGCTCAAAACTATACATTCCTGTATTATCATTCCATCATTCTCGTCAACAGTTTGCTAAACATAATAATTTCCTAGGTTTATCCCTGAATCTGCGCGTTGGCTGTTAACCAAAGGTCGTGTGCAGGAAGCAAAAGATCTTCTTCAACGAGCCTCCTTAGAAAACGGCGTGGAAATGCCAAGCGAGGCACTGGACACACTTCTCAACAGCTATGAAGACAGCGCTCCAGATTACAAGAAACCGTCGCTGTTCGATCTTTTCCGATATCCAAATTTGAGGCGGAAGAGCATTTTACTGTTTTTCAATTGGTAATGTTTCCTTGGAATTTCTCTCAGACTTTTTACAATTGCGATCAATAATCTGCAAAGTTCAGGCTAGAACCTTGCCAGTTGGTCTTTTGCTGTTCTTTTCATTTATTAAACGATTCATTTTTCTCATTGTTAAAAAAAGAAATCGGTAAATGTATAGTCATGTGTAGATAAACAGCAAAAGGATAAGGCTTGTCCCAGAACAGACCATCAATTTCGATTCATTTCGCAGATTATCCAGACTATCAACGACTGTTAATTCGTATTCTCTGGAATTGATTTTCAGGCTTGTAAATAGCGGTACCTACTATGGGCTCTCCTGGCATGTGGCCAACCTCCGTGGCAACGACTATGTTAATTTCCTCATTTCTGGGTTAGTGGAAATACCTGCGTACACGTTTCTAATTTTCACCCTAAATCGTTGGGGTAGAAAGATTATCTTATGCGGCTGCATGCTAACATCCGGAGTGGCGCTACTCGCAATCTTGTTCGTACCTGCTGGTTAGTTGAATACGAAGAATTTTGTACATTCTTTCATTTCGATATCATTCCAATCCTTCTTCTGACGATACTTCTCCTTTCAGATTCCCAATGGCTCATCGTGTGTCTCGCCATGATCGGAAAACTCACCATCACGTCCTCCTACGGTGCTATTTATGTTTTTACTGCCGAACAGTTTCCCACGGTCATTCGGAACGTCGGTCTCGGAGCCAGTTCAACTTTCGCTCGAATCGGTGGTGTAATTGCTCCATATGTCATTCACCTGGTAAATAATTCTATACTTTCGTGCTGCGAAGATAGAGCCGCTCGTTGGACATGGTCCACTGCATTAATTACACTGTCCAACGCATAGTTTACGTTCCAATAGATGATTTTTACGGATATCTGCGTGCTAAATACGAATTTATAAAGAAGAATTTATAAAGATAATTTTGATGTAGATCAAACGATTTTCAGAAAATCTATACGAATCATCTATTGGTCCTTAAGTGACATGAAAAAAAAGTTTCTAATTTGTTCGAACGTGTACAAATGGTTTGAGTTCTTGACTTTTTACAGTCTGAAATTTGGATGCCTCTTCCATTCGTTATTTTTGGGTCGTGCGTACTAACCGGTGGCGTTATGTCATTGCTCCTTCCGGAGACACTGAACAGGAAACTTCCAGAATCTATACAGGACGGCGAATTGTTTGGAAAGTACGTGAAGAAGTGATTACTTATCTTTTTTAGGTATATGGTTGTTTCGATTGTTATCACGACGAATGTGTCGTTTTAGAAAACCTTCGAAAAAGGAGAAGACTAAGCACCTAGACATAGAGCAGCTGAACGAAGTGGACGTGATAAAACCACTGAAGCCGCAAGAAAATGGCGTACACGAGAAGCAGAACGGATGACAGTGATCTCCAAGGCGAACATCGGTTATGCTCAAAACATGTATTTGAATTCCGCCTGTTCTAGACAGCCTTCTGTGTACACGTGTCCCGCACATAATGAATCTTAGCGTGTCCACCGCAAAATTTCACCAACAAATCTCATTCGACCTCACAAGCTGCATGATCAATCAAATATAGGCCGTCGCTGACCGAGAACGAAACACAGGAACACACGAATCAAGGGACTACTGGTATCCTCATTGAAAGTTTCAGCTTCAGACGATTGAAAGTGAGAAGGTAGCGTTTACCTTCTGTATGTACGTACATATAATATCTGTAATCGATAGCACACGAAAAGGAAAACGAATCTGCCAAGAAACATATCATTTACTCTAATTTCTGAATGTTGTTGTGGTAAGTGCCCTTGAAATGTAAACTTGTAAAAGCTTGTCGGAACGTTCGGGCGGAAAATGAACATTTCCGTGCGACTAATGCGGATAAAAAATACAAAGACTTTGACATTTTACTGTTCTGTGTTGTAATACTAAATGTCGACCTTATCCTTATCTTACGTCCTACTTAAAATTCAAACAGAGTCCAGTTTTTTTTCTAGTACCTGCAATGTGTGAGACAAGGATAGCTATAGTTCTGACCGTCTTGATAGTGTATATAGTAATTATTTACATTTTTTAAAAATAAATGATATATACGTACTGATTATTTACATTTTGAAAAATAAATTATGTTTGCTCGCACGTTACAACTAGATTGTAAATATTTATGCAAACTTATATTTTCATCGAAATTAAATAAAAATTCTTATAATAAACTATCTTTTTTTGTAGGAGCTTCAAGCAATTGCAAAGCAATAGACTCCTACGTCTTTATTAATTCTTTCAATCTATCTATCTACATTTTTATTTGGTATATAGGTTCCGAAAACGATACAATTGTTCAATTGTTATATTATCTTCTCTTTTTCGATTTTCACAAATTTCACAGGATCCTGCATAAATAAAGATATGAAGTTTTGCATTACAAATTGGAGTATGTTAGGTATTAACAACTTGAACTTACCTCAACAATATCGTTGTTAATGCTGCAATAACATAGTTTCAACTTATTGTTGTATTATTCTGTATTGTATTGTACTTTGTATTCTATGTTCAGTATGTGACACAAACTAATACCTCAGAAGAATGTTACGAAGTCTGGGTTGACAAAAGTTTAACATTGCAGAATTTGAAATAAATAAGTACGTCGACGAGAGACAAACTAATACATCGATGCATTCTTCTGAAACATTTGACAACACTATCGAATCAAATCAATTAACAAGAGAAGTATCATTAGAAGAAAATTGTGAAGTCTTGATTGACAAAGGTACAATGTTGCAGGTCTATCAATTAACTTGTATGAATCAGAAACTAAGTAACTTGTAGCTGACCTCATGCAGCAAAAGCGCACGCTTACAGTAGAAGATTTCACAATTGCAAAGCCGTTTGCACAAAATAATGATTAAAAAAATGCTGAAAGTATAAAACAAATGAGTAACCGCACTATGAATGTATATTTCATAAGAGGCTAATTCACTCACATTCACATTAGGATGATTTATTTAGTCTGACTTGAGATGTTGACCAGTTGCTTCTTGTCTTTTCTGTATGGTTTTTCTGGCGACATGTCTTTAATCGGTAGCAAGCCAGATTTAATTAGAAATACGAGCAAATGTGATTTAAACGTGCCATTGTTGCACCGACCCTCTTCTAGATATACATTTAAATGATTCCCAACGGTTTACGTTAATTGCAAAAATAATTAATTCTTTAACAACGTGATACAATTTTTTAATGAACAATTGCTTTCATACTTCTCTCGTAATTTGGATTTTACATTCTCTACCTCTATAAGATGGCTTACTATTCTTTATACTACAACGAAACGAATTTGAACAAATAATTCATGGGAATTGTTACAAACAAAAATTTAACATTATCGTTAAGCAATAAAATATAAAACGAACCTGCAGCTCCGTTTGAAGTGTAGTTAACTGTTTTTTCTCATATTTCTTTTCAGCATGTGAGTTTTGTCCTCCATTCTTTTCTCATAAGACTTTACATTCTGTCAAAATTCGGAGACTTCATATTTTTCATCCATACATCAATGTTCCTACTTATTATCATAAAATTACTCTTATCTTCTGTTTCATCTAGCTCATGAATCTTCAATTGCCAGTTTTACCTTTTTTTTTGCTAGGTGAATCATCAAATTTAAAGACTGTTGTTTCTTCTCTTTGTGTTTGATTGTGGCAGACCGCTCCAATGCTTGCTCTTCCATGTTCTAGAAATCAAGTATCTGTACAAATTATATACAGATTGTAATATTTTGCTAACAAAAGTTAATTTACACACATCTATATTAAGATGATCAACTGCTTGCCTTTTTTGTATGGCTTTTCAGACAGCATCTCTTTAATCAATGGCAAAGCCAGATTTATTTAGAAATACAGGTAAATGCAATTTGAATGTTTCAATGTTGGACATCCTTGAATGTTGCAAGTTATCCCAACTTTATCATCTTCTAGATTTACATTTGAATCTAATAATAAATTTGATACTTCGTTCGTACTTTCGATTTTATGTTCCTTACTTTTATGGATGACTTTCCACTCTTCATACTCTAACAAAACGAATTTTAATAGATAATTCATGGAAATTGTTGTAACAAAAATGTCACATATCATTAAACAATAAAATATAGAACTTGCTGCTCCACTTAAAGTTTAGTTAATCCTTTCCATTAGGCATTAATACTGATGTGTCAGTTGTAAGGACTAACAATTGAATTAAACACAACCGTCCTCCCGATCTCCATCGCGGTCACGGCCGCTCTCGGTTCACAACAATAGTGCGACTGTCAAATGCCTGCACGTAAATCGCAGCCACAATAGACATTTCTTCAAAATCTCCTTTGTCTAATAGAACCGTTAATCGGGAGCAATTTTGTGCTAAGCGATTAAAATCTTTGCGTCTTTGCGCTTAGAAGGCCGGCTTCACGTATTCATAGTTTAGTTAATTGTTCTCCAAGTGAATGTCTCTATTCCCTTCTTTTCTTACCGGCAAACTTTCAAATTTGCTCCATGTGAAACAGTTGTAATTTTGTTTCTCCAGCCTGTGTTAATAAATTAAACAAAAATTAATAAATTGAAAGAAATTGGTCGCAGTTTGAACTTACCTGCATCGGTATGCATTCAAGCGAATCTGAAATTTTGAAAATTGTTGAAAATAATATTGGTACAGTTATATCAAGGCATAATATAATAATAGATTTGTTATTTTATACTCTAATTTTGTTATAATTAATGTTGAAACCATCACTTTGCACGTTGGAGGTAAATTGAAGTTTCGTTCTGGATTCGTACAGTGCCAATTAGTATGTGACAAAACGCTGAAAGTGTTAGCTAATAAGTGGCGCCTCTCGTGGTGAAACGTAGAAGCTCGGTTCAGGGGTCCGTACAGCGCTAATTAGTACAGTGGCAAAACGCTGAAACTACTAGCTAATAAGTGGCGCCTCTCGTGGCGAAACTTGGAAGCTCGGTTCAGGGGTCCGTACAGCGCCAATTAGTACAGCGGCAAAACGTTCAAGCTACTAGCCAAATTACCAACAGTTGATTTTGGCTAACAGTTTGAGCGTTTTGCCACGGGACTAATTGGCGCTGTACGGACCCCTGAACCGAGCTTCTCAGTTTCGCCACGAGAGGCGCTGTTTTGATATTTTAAGCAGATGATTCGTGCCGGATTTTACATTGTTTCTATGGGAATAGCGGCACGAATCATTCGTTCGAATGGTCAATATGCAAACAAAAAACGGATAATCGTTCAGAACTCACTGTTTCTAACTCGAACACGTAAAAAATAATTACGAACCCTTCCTTAGGGGTCTGTTTTAGATTATGTCAATCATAAAAGTACGCTTACTACGTGGTTTATAATAATATTTATTAAAAAGGGAAGATGATGGTTGAAATTACATTTGAAACAGAACTCATTGTTATGAAAATAATAGCAACGTTCTAGAGTTTATCTTTTTTAAAATATGGCACTTGCGAAGACGTAAACGAATAAAATTCTCGATGTTCAATTAACAAAATTTTTATCTATCCTTGTTAATTATTATAAAGGATTATCGTAAAAGGGATAGGCGTCTACTAGGCTTCTGCGGTTTTCGTAAGGGTTCCTAAAGATGTTCGAATCTTCCGGGAGCTCGTCGGATTCGAGCACCTCGAGATCCGGTTTCTGGCAGGTCAGAGCACCGCAACGATTTCTGCAGCACTTCAGCGATCCTCTGCAATCGCTGTCAATGTTGCAAGTCGGCGAGCATACCCATCGTCCTTTCGGCACTGCTGGACAATATCCTGCCTTCTCTGTAACCGAACAATTTTATGTCATGCTGCCCAAACAGTTTCGAATACAAACTTCAGATTAACAATCATCAAATAAGTTAAACATCGTCTCGTCGAAAACACGTGTTTCAGTAATTAAAAGACCATCAGCACTTAGTCATTTTACACAACGATAGTTTAAACTCAGTTGTTCACACGACGATACATTTGTTTATGCAACAGATTTGTGTAAAAATATCATCGAGAAGTCTACTGGCTGCTTTTTAAAAAGATCGTCTCACCTCGTGGATTTTCTGCTCGCATCGTTACAGGCTTCGAACAGACAGTTCCTCCGCAAATAGTCGGACAGCACTTGCCGATTCCTAAACAATGGCCATCGGTGAAACAGGACTGGCTGCAGATTTGAACTGGCAGAGGCGGTGGGCAGGATCCTGATTNGCCACGGGACTAATTGGCGCTGTACGGACCCCTGAACCGAGCTTCTCAGTTTCGCCACGAGAGGCGCTGTTTTGATATTTTAAGCAGATGATTCGTGCCGGATTTTACATTGTTTCTATGGGAATAGCGGCACGAATCATTCGTTCGAATGGTCAATATGCAAACAAAAAACGGATAATCGTTCAGAACTCACTGTTTCTAACTCGAACACGTAAAAAATAATTACGAACCCTTCCTTAGGGGTCTGTTTTAGATTATGTCAATCATAAAAGTACGCTTACTACGTGGTTTATAATAATATTTATTAAAAAGGGAAGATGATGGTTGAAATTACATTTGAAACAGAACTCATTGTTATGAAAATAATAGCAACGTTCTAGAGTTTATCTTTTTTAAAATATGGCACTTGCGAAGACGTAAACGAATAAAATTCTCGATGTTCAATTAACAAAATTTTTATCTATCCTTGTTAATTATTATAAAGGATTATCGTAAAAGGGATAGGCGTCTACTAGGCTTCTGCGGTTTTCGTAAGGGTTCCTAAAGATGTTCGAATCTTCCGGGAGCTCGTCGGATTCGAGCACCTCGAGATCCGGTTTCTGGCAGGTCAGAGCACCGCAACGATTTCTGCAGCACTTCAGCGATCCTCTGCAATCGCTGTCAATGTTGCAAGTCGGCGAGCATACCCATCGTCCTTTCGGCACTGCTGGACAATATCCTGCCTTCTCTGTAACCGAACAATTTTATGTCATGCTGCCCAAACAGTTTCGAATACAAACTTCAGATTAACAATCATCAAATAAGTTAAACATCGTCTCGTCGAAAACACGTGTTTCAGTAATTAAAAGACCATCAGCACTTAGTCATTTTACACAACGATAGTTTAAACTCAGTTGTTCACACGACGATACATTTGTTTATGCAACAGATTTGTGTAAAAATATCATCGAGAAGTCTACTGGCTGCTTTTTAAAAAGATCGTCTCACCTCGTGGATTTTCTGCTCGCATCGTTACAGGCTTCGAACAGACAGTTCCTCCGCAAATAGTCGGACAGCACTTGCCGATTCCTAAACAATGGCCATCGGTGAAACAGGACTGGCTGCAGATTTGAACTGGCAGAGGCGGTGGGCAGGATCCTGATTTCTCGGTGAAAGGTTCATACCTGCGGTGATCGTATTATTCAAAATGGGACGAATTCCACGATATTGTTGAAATTGTTGACAATAGAATTTACCTCATTTCACCGACGGTCGCGGTTAGCATTATCGATAGAAGAACCAGCCATAACTTCATCCTTAGGCCGTTCTGACGATCCCACGCAAAATGATGGCACTTCCGACGGAACTGAAAGCAAAGGGCTCTCATTAAGTTCGCTACATCTCTCTCTCTCTCTCTCTCTTTCTCTCGTAGCAGATATTTTGTATCAATATTTAAACAATCGATCTTTTAACACTGCTAAGCTAAA